AGAGTGAAAATAAAACATTTTGCTGAGCAAGCCCTGCTGTGGAAGAGGTTACACCGACTCCAGTGCTTCCCGTGGAAAATGAGACGTTTCATCCCACACCTGAGGTGTGAGACATCTCACCACGGCAGGAGGTGACCCGGGGGCTGTGAATTGTTATTGAAGCATTTAGGGTGGGGAGGATGTGGAGAGGGATGATTAACCCCCACTCTTGGAACACTGAGGTGGGAGGTGACAGGCTTGGCTCCTTATGGTCAGACAGTTTGCAAATTGGATGAAGCTTTGGCAAAAAAGGCTGTGCTGAACCAGAGCTGGTCCTTCCTTTCCTCTCCAGAGGTGTGTGAAGCTCCCAGCAAGTACCAGTAGGTCACACTCTGGGAGGAGAGGGAACAGCAGCCCTCGGTTGTTTTACAGCTGGTCGTTAACTGCACATCCTGATTTAGCAGAGAGCACATGAGGGGGGAGCAAAAATCAGAAGCAGAGGACCAACATGCTCTTTTATTATGTGTAATACAAAATATTGCTGCTTCTGGACGTCCTGCTGCTCCTCTGTCTGTGATCCTGGTGGATAAAACACTACCACCACAATTTGGGATGAAGTACCTGGAGGAAATACCTGGTGCCCCTTTGCTGTGATATTTATTTTTTACAAAGGGAGGGAAAACATTGCAAATGGTTGTCTGAGTGTGTGACAGGGGAAGTAAATGCTGTGTCCAGCTCTGGGAAGATAAGAAGGATGTGGACCTGTTGGAGCAAGTCCAGAGGAGGCCACGGAGATGCTCCAAGGGCTGGAGCCCCTCTGCTCTGGAGCCAGGCTGGGAGAGCTGGGAGGGTTCACCTGGAGAGGAGAAGGCTCCAGGGAGAGCTGAGAGCCCCTTCCAGGGCCTAAAGGGGCTCCAGGAGAGCTGGAGAGGGACTGGGGACAAGGGATGGAGGGACAGGACATAAGGAATGGCTTCAAACTGCCAGAGGGCAGGGACAGATGGGATATTGGGAAGGAATTGCTGGCTGGGAGGGTGGGAAGGCCCTGGCACAGGTTGCCCAGAGAAGCTGTGGCTGCCCCTGGATCCCTGGAAGTGTCCAAGGCCAGGTTGGACAGGGCTTGGAGCAACCTGGGCTAGTGGGAGGTGTCCCTGCCCATGGCAGGAGGGGGTGGGATAAGATGAGCTTTGAGGTCCCTTCCCACACAAACCATTCTCTGGAACAATCCCATAACTAATCAATCCCATAACTAATCAATCCCATAACTAATCAATCCCATAATTAAGAGCTGCAGAGCTCCGGTTTGTGCTGTGCCAGGAGCATCTTCGACTGTTGCATCCAAGGAACTGCTGCATTGTGTTGCAAACCCCTGGAGCACTGACAGCTCCTCTCCCTCTCTCCTTGCCCTCCCCAGGCCAAGCGTCGTCGTTCACGCAGCAGCCCCAGGACCAGGTGGTGATCGCTGGGCAGCCCGTGACCCTGCTCTGTGCCATCCCCGAGTACAATGGCATCGTGCTCTGGATCAAGGACGGGCTGGCCCTTGGAGTCGGACGGGACCTCTCAAGTAAGTCGGGACACTGAATTCAAAAAATCGGTCCGAGAAACTGCTCAGAGACTTTTTTTTCTCTTTAAGCAGCAAGGTATTTGTTTATTCAACGTTGGGAGCGAGGCCAGCTCGCGCTGGACAAACTTGCTTGAAGGCTTCACACAAAATCAGCAGGTTTTATACAATTTTCGTATCTGATTAAATGCATATTCAAGTGATTACAACATCTATCTATGCATATTAATAACAGGCAGAGTTAGGTGGAGCTCAGGCGGGGCTTGGGGCGGTCCTTCTCTTGGCCCTCAGTTTTGGTGGGAGATCCACTCTTCATCCCATGGGTCTGGGGGCTAATTCTCATCTTCCTCGGCCTGACCTCCCTTCTCTTCTATTGTTCTTGACCCGCTCACTGAGGCTTGGAGAAGGCCTTGGCTCCCGGCCTGTTTCTTCTATTCAAATGTCTACCTTATCCTACTGCATCTTGATTTATTACCTCTAGGCCTATTACATGTTCTTTTACCATTCTCTTAAGTTTTGGTCTAGTAAGTAGAACAGAACAAGCACAGATCGTTTTGGATGTTGGTAGCTTGTTAGTAGGCCCATATTTCTTAGTTAACTCTTTTGGGCCTGGCCTCCTGTTTCAATACCACCCTCCCTGGGGAGCTCTCCCTCCCCAGCAGTGCAGGCACAACCATGACATTTATTTCGGGAGCAATGTTTTCATTTCAGCTACAAAATCTTCCAACCCAGCCCAAGTGAAACTTGGAACAAAAATCCTCGAAACTTGGAATAAAAACCCCTGAAACTTGGAATAAAAACCCTTGAAACTTGGAATAAAAACCCTCGAAACTTGGAATAAAAACCCTTGAAACTTGGAACAAAAATCCTTGAAACTTGGAAAAAAACCCCTTGAAACTTGGAATAAACCAGAACTTTTTTCACCCAGCCAGAGGTGGTGGGTTTCCCAGTGGAAGGGCTCATCCTTTTTCCTTGCCCACGGAGGCCATGGATGCTCCAATCCTGGCAATGTTCAAGGCCAGGTTGGATAAATCCTTGAGTAACCTGGTCTAGGGGGAGGTGTCCCTGCCCATAGGAGGGTTGGGAGTAGATCATCTTTAAGGTCTATTCCAACCCTTAACATTGTGTGATTCCATGTTTCCTGAGGATTTCAGTTAACACTCCTTCATCGGCACTTCTTTGAAACAGAACTATTGATTCTCTCAGTTGTGACCTGACCCTTTGGAAAGCCCTGCTTCGGTTTCCTTGACTTCTGGAAACAAGTGTCACGTTTCCAAAATGCGGGATGAAATGTTTTGTAAATGTTGGAAGTGCCAGTTTTGATATCCTTGAAAATAAAAAGAATTATAGAATAGAATATCCTGAGCTGGAAGGGACTCACAATTCTGTTTGCTTTGGATAAATGTTTTCCTTGCAGCCCACGAGTACTTGTGGCTTCCTTAAGCTCTATGTTTGTCAAATTAAAGTTTGGTAACTTTAATTTGGTAACTAATTCCTCAGCATTCTCATTATTTAATCCCATGCCTGCATTGGGATTGAGGGTTAACTGCAGCTGGTGAAGACTGGTGCAATACTGAGGAAGTTACGCAGGTTTTTCTATGCATTTTGCTGGAAAACACTGATTTGGGAGTGAAATATTTCACATGAATAAGGCAGAGTGTTTGCTGGGAGCCCTTCAGGATCTGCAGCCTCGTCCCCCCGAGTGCTGCAGAGGGTGGACACGTGTGACGTTCCCTCTGCTCAACTTCTGGGAGATCTGGGAGAGTTCTCCCCCAGCCCAGCAGCAGCATTCAGAAACCAGGGGAGGCTCTGTGTGTTCTGGTCTCCAGGGACCCCTGAAGTGCAATGCCTGCTGCTTCTTTCCCTCTCTTTTTTATTAATACATGTAATTGCTCATTTACAGCCTTGCCCGAGTGAGCAGCCCCCTCTTCTCCTGTTTTTCAAAGCCACAGCTTTCACATCCATCAGAGAGCTGAGCTCTCCATGCAAGACCTTGCAGCTCGACTGGGTAACAACAGCTCCAGTGGAGTAGGGAGCTGATGGGAATGACTTCCACAATTAACAGAGCTGGGGCTGCTGGAAGCCAGAGGAGCTGCCAGCTCGTGTGATGCCAGCTCAGCCAGTGTCTAATTAGCGAAATACAAACAAACCCATCACTTGTATTTCTCGCGGTTCAGGAGAGCAAATCCTGCTGATGATAACTCGGGAAACAACAAGGGCCCGAGCGTGTGCCAGGCTGGCTGTGTCACACAGGGTGTGCCAGGCTGGCTCTGTCACAAAAGGTGTGCCAGGCTGGCTCTGTCACAAAAGGTGTGCCAGGCTGGCTCTGTCACAA